GTCCACTGTCAGATGCTGGGAATCATGACAACTACTATGGCAGACGACTTCGGACTAGGTGCGTTCTACTCTAGTCGCCCTGACAACAAGACCAAGTTGCCTCAACGAGGTCATCCCACTTCTATAATTCTAAAGGAGACTGCGACCACACCAGAGGCTACAGCATCTTGGTCCTCATATCTTCGATTATGTAATCGTGTTCTTTATACAAAGATCCTGGTAACGCGAGTTGCCAAGGCCACGTGGCCTGAAGCAAAGAGTGCGTCTTTAAATTGATGGAAGAAAGGCATTCGAAGTGTGACCTCATCGGAACCCGATGTGTTGCACGAATGACTATTGGGCCTGAATCGCGGCCGTCTACCTGATAGAGATTATATTCACACTTATGTCAAGGGAGGACCCAATTCGGGTGATAATGCAGGTTCGACCCCGTCCCAAACTTGTCTACAAGTTTCTGGGGATTCGAATAGCGGATAATTGGGTTCAGATCTGCATACAGAACGCCGTTCTAAGATGTGAGTCGTGAGATGCATTTGTCTGTCTGGCGGTGACTAGTCAAGACCCTTTTTTAATCCCAATCCGAAAACCTATTTATGAACGAAAAAGACAGTTATTTAGCCGATTGTCACAGCAAATACAATTTTGCTTCATCGACAATCCCATCACAGAATGTGATGAGCGAAAATAGTTGGCCTTCCTTGAAGTTTACATCTGCCTTATGACCGAATGACACTCGTTATAGTTCACTTTCTTGTTAACATGCCGTTGTTCGAGTCCCGCTGGGGGTGGTAATTAGACCTAGGCCAGGTCTAAACTGCAGTCCACGTCGGCTTGGATGAGGATACCTTTTGGGAAGCAAGACTATGTGAAATTTAATGGAAGCATAAGGTCTACTCATAGCATTGTGGGAAAATTCAATTACCAGTTCCCCTAAACGAAATAGAGTGAATCCATCTCATATATGCGAGATACAATTGTCTGTCTGGTGATGACTAATTGAGGGGCTGTTTATTTACCTCAATCCGTAAACATCCACGGTCCGAAGCCTGTTGATGAGACAGTGAGAGGAGGTCGAAACGTCTCCCCATTAGCCCAGGTCCTTAGGGGACTTCCTCGGAGAACGTTTTAAAGGTAGAGCCTGAAGATGCTCGAAAAAAAGTGAAAATATGCACATCACCTTTTAACAATCCCAAATTGGATGTCTGGAAAGTAAATAGCATCGAGTATATCGAGTCACTAGGGCACTTGGCCAATAACTGTGAATCCCATCATCCCGTCAAGCAATCATATTTTGGAGGATGAGGCCAATGTGAACATGTTTGTTTTCCTCCGCAAACACCCATGCTCAGTAGTCCGACGATGAGAATATGAGGCAAAGTCGAAATTCATCGTGGATGAAATTGCCATCTACTCTGTTGACACCTTCCAAATCTGGGCATTCAAGCTACGCAGTTAATAGGCTTCGAGAACCTGGAAGGATCTTGAGTACGCATTTTACTCATCTTGGGTCACATTAAATGGTTGAATTTTTTCACAATTTAATGAGTACATCTCGTGTTCCTGAATCTCAATAAAGGTGGTTATGTGAAGATGAGGCGAAGTAGAAATTGTAGGGAAGACATGATGTTATCTTCAATTAAATCATGCGGCCTTCCGCTTGATTCTTTGTGGGAAGATTCAAGTGTCCGTCCCACATCAATTCATGCGAAATAAGCTGACTAGAATCGTCAATCAAGATGGAAAGTTGAGAAAAACTCAGTTGGGCGAAAGTAGCCACAATTTAGGCGCTTTCTCAAGCCATATTTTAAGGGAAATATCTGGCCTCAAAGACCCTCAATTTTACAGGCAGATGCCCTGATTTCTACATGAGTATTTTTCCAGTCTATCAATAACTCTTAAATAGAAATGGGCATCATCCAAAGTCATTAGGGTGACATTATGAGTTACACTTAAATTGTCTTAAATGGGAATTTCAAGCATTCCCAGCATGTTTTGAAACTCAGTCGTCCGCGTCAATTGCCAGCACTCTCCCACTCTGCCATACAAACTAGGGTTTTATTGAGTCCCGAAACAGACATAATTTCCGTAGCAAACATTTGACATTTCAATGCATGAATTAAATAGAGACGTAGTGATTGAATTCCTTTTTCAAATGACACTTTTAGTCAGAAAATTGAGTCAGTACGTCACTAAAAACTGTGTAATTTCGCAAAAGCTGGTCTGCATTATCGATACTCCATTTGTAAGCGTGAATTGTGAAAAAATGTGGTTGGAAGGAATCCGTAAATTAGCTTCTCCAGCTCCCGTAGGAGGATTGCCTGAAGATTGTGACTACTGGATTGTGCAAAGAATACCTCAGCTCGCCATCCTGCGACCCCAATACATCCGTGCTTACTGTTCGTCCATCACTTGACTGGTATTTTAAGAGTCAGAAGCCAGGATTTACGAAAAATTCGCCTTAAACATTAAATCAAAAAGGTGAAATTTTCGTAAATGCCAATTTGAGGCTCTCATATTGTTCGTCACTGGTTTAAGGAGGTCGCAGGACGGAGAGGCATTCCAGCTGTCTGAAGTCCAAGGCAATCCTCCTTCAGTGTCTGGGACGGTCAATTTTAGAATCGCTTCCATCTCTAAAGCTAAACTTTCCTTCACATATATGAATTTTGCGAAGCCTTTAGTCTCATATGTCCTATGACCCACTGGCATTGGTGCTTGTTTGTGTGTTGACGGGACGGGACGGGACGGGGTGGGGAGATTCGTTAAGTTGTAGAGTTGTTGGATGATACACAAGAGCCGTTTGTGCGCTGATGAGTGCAAGACGAGATCGGATCTGCAGTCCAGCCACGAGAGGACCTCCGTTTGGGAGGCAAGCCATGGCGAACCTCGAAGTGGGGACATGTGCTCAGTTTATTGTGTGAAAATGCAGCTCAACCTGGATTCAGGTGAGGCCAACCCTCGAGCCTCTTGAACGGCAAATATGTTGTCGGCAATCAAGCTGCAAAATCACACTTGAAAGCCCGACAAGCGGGCAAATCCTCATTCGATGTGAATGCCAGAAATGAATAGCATGAATCACATGATTCGGCCCAGTCAACATGTCAACTGCTGTAGCAGTGCCAGCGCCGTCTCGAAGGTCGTCTCTACAGAAGCAGTCAGATACACAGAAGCATGAGCACATGACGATAGAGACCGGTTGGAGACGTGAGTCTGTGCTAATTTGCAAGCGGCCTGGCTCCTCTAACCCACGAGTGGTGCAAGCTAGGGCGGTTGCCTGTTTGACAGACTGCGGACTCCAACTTGTGAATATGTGAAAGTCTTAGAAAGTTAATTAAAGTCGTTTTTCAACTCGTAGTCACCAGGCCACGTTGAGAAAACTGCTCAGCCTCAACACCGCCCCCCATCTCATCTCATCTCATCTCAACGCGCCCTCTCTCCTCGACCAACAGCCTCGCGTCTCAACCATCCCAACTAGCCGGTCTGGCAGGCCCA